GGCCTTCCTCTCCACTGCGCCCGCGCTGGTGCCCTGCATTCAAAGTTATGCCCGGCACATACCCAATGTGGCTGACGACCTCGCCCGTTTGCGAGACTTTGCTCAGAACCTGAACTTGAGTCTCTGAGGGGTATCCTCCCCCCCCCCTCCGACAACCAGCTTCCGCATACTTTTCGCCCGCCTCCCCCGCCCGCCACCTTCTTCATGGCTACAGTTGGGCACGGGCTTGTCCATTTATGTATATGCGTATTTATTTAAGGCTAATGCCTGTATTGTACGTCCTTGCTTATCGGAAAGTTTTGTTAACATATCGACGGCTATCCTTGCATATAGTCAGTCAGCACGCCATACCTCTTGCCCATGTGCCTTTGGTTTCTCTTTTGTAAATACTCTAAATTCCTTTTGAATCATGTTTTTGACATAAGTCTCAGACTTTGTTTCCTCCCTCCCCCGTTGCTCTTCACGCCATGTTTCTTCCTACAATCATTCGTAGCAGCCAACCTCATTTGGGCAAAATACAATGCTTACTGAGGATTTTGGGTCAGCTGACCATCACGCCGCCCTCCCAATTGTTGTTGTTCCTAGCTTGATGACGAGAGATTAGGCTGTTGGAATGGGAATGAGACTTGACTATTGTTAGGAGCCGGTCTAACCGACCCGCGCACATGCCACACTACCGGTCCGCCCACATGTAATGCACGTGGTGACGCGCAAGCTGCTGCCAGGATTGGGACTCTATCCCGTCTGCCGTATGAATCAGAATGTCAGTCAAGCTGCTACCTACTTGAGAACACTATCTGATTGGTCCGATTGCAGGCCGATCTTGTACATGCCTTGCTTGCCTTTGTAAAGTATGCTGTTAGCATACGGCAATACACCTCAGTACACTTCTGCCCTTGCTGTTGAGTCCTCTTATGGAAATCTGATCGAGGTGTCGTTGGACGGCGGACATCGTGGCTTGTAGCAAGATTATAACACCTATAATCCAGGCCACAGTAATAATGCCTTTCATGTCGCCTTACACAGAACACGGAAACAGGAGCCGCCCACAATAAATGTGGCTGTGCGCGAATTTCTGGAGAAATTAGGTTGAGAATTAAAGGGAATTTAGAGTTAGGACGTCACATAACAGGAGTCAACACTCTTGCCGTCCTCGGGTCAGCGCC